AGAGCCTCGAGTTGTGTATAGTGCTATCGGAACAATTTTGTGTGTTGCTCAGTGTTCTCGTTAACGAGTGCAGGAGAGTGTTCCGACAGACTGATTTAGGCAGATACTTTTTGCACGCGGCAAGGTTTTATTTGCGACACACAATGGATCTCGAAAAGTTAGTCGCTCTTGGTGAGAAGATGGGTCTTTCTGGCGCCGAACTACGGAAGTGGGTCACCCAGAAGGAAAAAGAAGAAAAAGAGAGAGCCAAGGAAGAAAAAGCAGCTGAGTTGGAAAGAGAGAGGTTGGCAGCTGAGAGAGCCAAGGAAGAAAAAGCAGCTGAGTTGGAACGAGAGAGATTGGCAGCTGAAAGGGCGAGAGAAGAAAGAGAAGCAAAGGAGCGACAGCTGAAGGAAGAAAGAGATGCAAAGGAGCGACAGCTGAAAGAAGAAAGAGAGGAAAGGGAACGGCAGCACGAGATGAAACTCGAGCGGCTCCGTTTGCAACAGCGAAGTGAAACTATCGTCCAAGCTAGAGTTGAAAGCAGCGAACGGGAAGATCATGGCTCCCGCTTGAACCCAAGCAAGCTGCTCGTAGCGTTTGATGAAAGGAAGGACGACCTTGACGCGTACCTTCACAGATTTGAGACGATTGCAAGGAGCCAGAATTGGCCGGAACATCAATGGGCAACTGCTTTGAGTACTTGCTTGAGTGGTGAAGCGCTCAGTGTGTACGGTAGGCTGACGCCGACTGATGCAGCCAACTATGCAAAGGTGAAAGCTGCTTTGCTGAAGCGATTTAGATTTACTGTGGAAGGATTCCGGGACAGATTTCGGACAGGAAAGCCAGCTGATGGTGAGACGGCTACGCAGTATGCCGCCCGACTTTGCCATTATTTCGACAGATGGATTGAACTTTCAGGGACAGCGCAGGAGTACGATGAGCTTAGAGAGCTCCTAATTAGAGAACAATTTCTTACTAGTTGCCACCCAAGCCTGTCGCTGTACTTGAAAGAGAGGAAGGCTGACTCACATGAAGGCATGCTTGAATTGGCTGATCAATTCTTGGAAGCGCAAGGTGGCACTAATTTGGCCAAGGTCAAGAAGGATTGTCCCGAAGATTCGAAGAAATTGGCTCCCGAAGAAAAGAAGCGTGCACCAGAGAGCATTGCGCGATGTTTTCTGTGTAACCGAGTGGGTCATCGCGCGAAAAACTGTCGAACGATCTTTACGAGCCCTACGGTAGTAAAATGTTTTAAGTGTGGTCAGACTGGGCACAAAGCAGACGCATGTCGAAACGGAGCGAGTCAAACTCACCAGGTATCCTGTGTGCAAGCGGCACTGAAATCCGGTAATAATGCCGTCACAGATGGATTCGCAGAGTTGAAAAATGGGGAGAAAATTCCTATTGTGGGTGCTGTAATGGCAAAACAGCCAACCGGTGCTACGAAGGGAATGCCAACGCTGCCTGGAAAAGTTGCGGGCAAGAAGGTTACGGTGTTGAGAGACACGGGTAGCTCCACGGTTATCGTGCGGAGAAATTTGGTACGGGAAATTGAGTTGACAGGCAGAACGAAACCGGTTTGTCTAATTGACCGTACGGTTTGGATGCTTCCCGAAGCAGAAATTGAGGTTGAAATCCCGTACTTCAGCGGGAAGGTTACTGCTTTATGCATGACGACCCCCCTGTACGACGTTGTCATCGGAAACATCGACGGGGCGCGAGGACCGAATGATCCGCAATGTTTGGGAGAAGACCCTAAGATAGAGCCTTCGCCAATCCAGCGACCGCGAGATACAGTGGAGGAGCGGCCCGTGACGGATCTCACTAGAGCCCAAGGTGAAGCGGCGGCACAAGAGACAGTGAATGAGAAGATGATCGTGTTGAATGAGTTCACGGGCCGTGCAGCTGGACTTACGTCGGCAAGACCTCAACCGACCGACAGTGTAAAGGTGACGGAGTCGGCCAGCCAGGCCAAATGTCGGGACGTGAACAAGCGGGTGAATAACCAGGCAGGATCGGTTGAGCGTCATGACCCGTTAGCAGTGTCGGAAGTGACAACGATGGCTGAGACGCCGCCTCAGATACCATCGTTGGAAGGGGCTCGCCGGAACAAAACGAGCAAAAACAATAAGAAGAGATCGAGAGAGCACCGCAAGAAAGAGCGCAAGCGCCGCTCGAAATGCACAGGATAGGTGCTGAGGCGGAATCGAATTGTGTTTGGCAGGGCTGAGTGCTATATGTTGTGTTAATGTTCTTGCTATCCTGTGTCACAAGTGTTGAAGTGTTTGTGCTGTGACGTGATGTATAGTATTGTACAATTGTGGTAATGAGAGCTTTGTATATTTGTATTGTTTGGAATATGTGATGGAGCATTGTATTCATGTACCTGTGGCTATACTCTATGTGTTGTGAGATTGAATTGCAATGTACAGTTGTATTGAGTGATCTATTGTGAATGTGAAGTGTCATGAGCGACGGTTTGTGTTACAGTCCTTCAGAGTGTGTGGTGACTGTTCGTGCTCGTTTGTGTGGTTTTGAATATTATGAGATAATATTCTTAAAGTGGGGGGCAGTGTCACAGAACGAGCGCTCAAAAAGAGCGCGCCGCCGACTCCTCGCGACGAAACGCCGGAGTGACGCCGCGAGGTCAACGATAAAAAAAAAAAAAGAAAGAAAACAAACATGCAGACTCCCCGGGCGCGACTCTCTCTCTCGGAAGCGTAGATTATCCGACGAACCTCCTCACCCCACAACGGCGGCCGAGCAAGCACTCGAACTTTCTAGATGGAAAGGGGCGTGGTGAGGCCGGGTTGAGTCATCCATCGCGGACAGCCTTCGAGCCGTCTCGCCCTCTCCCCAGTCTTCGCTGCGTATCGCGCCGACGAAATGACGAGAACTTTCTGGAATCTCGCGCGGGGGGTATTTAATCGAGCAGCCGAGGTGAGAGATCAGGAGAAGACGGGAGTTAGCGCCAAAGCGCGTAGGGATTTCACCGTATAGTCGGCGAAGGTTTTGTCCGTGAAGACAAAGCAGGAGAAGAAGATGATTTCCACCTGAGGGGTGACGACTCGAGCTACAGGCAAGAGTGTGTGTTTACCGCTATCGAGCGAAGACGCGTGGCAACAGCTGCGTGTGTGAAGCCGACGTGTTTCCGGCGAAGAAGTTTGAAGCTTGGAGAGTGGCCTATTGAAGACGTGAGGTTTCCTGGAAGAGAAACTTCGGGGGCTGCGGAACGACAACAACGCTGGACTTTGAGTGAGTGATTCCAGAAGTGTATCATCCAGACTTTTGTTCCAAGAACTTTGGACTGAATAGGTTTCCTATCTCTTTAGTCTTTAAGTGTCTTGGTTGTTCAATGCATGCGACTGCATTGTAGTGTGTATTGTTGTCTGTGTCCGTTGGTTCGAGTGTGGCTGATTGTACTGTGTAGTACGTTGTTTGGTGGGTGACATATTGTATTCAACTATTGTGGAGTGTGCATACTTGTGTATTCGGCCATTATTGAGAATATAATTCTGTTTATCAACTCTCGGCTCTGACTTGTTCTTTGGGCCACAGCCGGCATCCGCTGGCGTGCCAAAAAGGACCACTTCTAAATTGTCCACGCTTTCGTGGTGCGGTTCGGGGGGCCGATACTTCGGCCCTTGGAATTAGCCCGGCGATCGCCTCCCGAATTAACAGGACCTGTGTGACAGCATTCTATGGTCACAGCATCGTATCTTTGCCAACTACTTTTACACCCTGTACAATGTGTGCGTCTCTCATAATCATATCGTGGTTTTGGGGCGTTAAACCCCACAAATCAATTAAGCAACCCTGTACACGCCTTCGTGAGCACACAGAATTAAGCCCACTTCATTTTTAGTTTTACCATCAGGACTTTGTCTCGTCCAGTTACAGTTACCCCATTTTGTGAAGAAGATATTCAACATCTGTGAATTATTACGTCTTGCAAACTCTACTAATAACTCCCGTTTGAATTTTTAGAGCCGATGCCATATACCCCAACTGAATGGTCTCCGGCCTGTTTCTTGCCTACTTCGGCATTAAAGTCGCGCATCAGAATAGTATACTGTGCTTTTACTTTATTAATGGCTGACTCTACGTCTTCATAGAAGCGTTCAACTAAATGATAATTATGGCTCGATGTAGGCATGTAGGTCTGTACCACCTTCACCTTGTACCTTTTGTTAAACCTAATTATGATACTTGCCAACCTCTCACTGATACTATAATATTCCTCCATGTTGCCAGCGATATTCTTGTGTATAGGAAACCCTACCACAAGTTGTTTTCTGTCAAGTAATCCACAATAGCATAAGATGTGTGTGCTCTTCGGCACTGTATAAGCCTCGCGTGTCCTCCTAACATTGCTGAGCCCTATTACATATCATTGAACACCCTCTAATTCCTTGAACAGCACAGCTAGATTAGCCTCTAATTCCTTGAACAGCACAGCTAGACTAGCCTCACTAGATAGCATTCTAGCATAGAACGTAGCCAAGTTCAGATTAATATGGCGGCCTGTCTGGACGCAGAGATTCTTAGCACTCTCTGCTATGTGGCAAGTTTGACCGACACCGTGGAAAGTTGATTCATAGCCGCTGGGGGACTGAGGGGCCGGGGTAATATTTGTATTCATGGGACATTCTTAAACATTCTCTTTTTATTAAGTCCAATAAAACCAAAGTTACACTTTTCAGAGCAACAAATCAAGCTGCTTCTGTCAGTGCTACTCGTACCTTAGGAGGAAATGCTATAGAAATTACTAACATTGTTGGAACACTCAGAGTCTATTTTAATGAATTCATGTTCTGGAATTATATTCTGAAAGTTGAGTGGCTGGAGTAACTACCAGAAAGTGCTGTGTGCCCGAGAAACAAGTTCAACATGCCAAAATTGACGATCCAAAGCGTCGATCACCAGTGATTAATTTGAATAGGCATGGTAATGAAAGAGCGAAGGGTGCCCCAATTTTTTTTTTAACAGGCGTGTTAGAAGCCGTATAAGTTACTTACATCTCTGGCTGCTTGCTGATTGAACAGCTTGCACAGCAGGATGGTCAGGGTGACGCCCACAAAAAGAAACATGATCCCACTGCCAGTGGCAATGATGCCGATCCACGTGGGTATTCTGCACAGCAGGAGAACATTCCAAGCTTGAAGAAACAAAGGTGATCGTAAGCTTGTACCTCGCTCAGCACACAGTTGTCACCTTTACGAAAGAAAAAAAAAACATAAACACATGTCAAATAGCCTCGCAGGTGAGGGGTCGAATAAAAGAGAGGTGCTGTTCTTTACACTCCCCAAACCCTTTCGTCTACTTTTCCATGTAGAAAGAGTCTCATTCTGACAAACTTGATGCCTTGAGGTAGCGTATGAGGAATTATCGGTCAGCTCACACACACACAAAAAAAAAGATCATGCGGCGCTGCAATACACCAGCCTTTCAAAGAGCGTTCCACGCTTTCCAACATGGCTACAAGCGGCGCTTACTAGCATTCCCGTGTTTAAATTCACATATATGCCCCATAGAATACACGAGGATAATCGCTGCTGCAGGTGAGTAATTGCATCATTGGACGCATTATTTGAAGGCTGCAGTTTCAGTCCCGGCCAGCGGCAGGTTGTCATTTTGCCTAACTTTTACCTTTTTTTTCATATTTCTTTCAGAATTATTACAAATAACGTCCCCTAAACTTTCCCTAGCTCGATTGTTTCTTGCTTCTCATTTACTATTGCATAAAACGGAAATAAAGCAAACCTTTGAAGTTCCCTTCTTTCGTTCTCATAACTTTGAGATGAAACACAAAAGAACAGAAAAAGAAGCTGCTGTGATGGTCATGCTCGTCTGCATGCTCATGATCTTCTCCGATTACAAGCAAGGAATCAGGAAAATAAAAATTAGAATAAGTTGACTTTTATTCAACGTTCTCTTTTCCTCAGCTCCCCTCTTTTCTTACATGACGCACAGCAGATGCTTGAAATTTACTATATAAAAAAAACTAAAAAACAATAATTTTGAATAAGGTCTGAATGGTGTTGCCATCTCTATGCTTTCATCGGTAGCATTAGAGGTCAAGGACCGTGTTTCTTCTTGGTTTTTCTTTCGCCAATAATGACAATATTCACAAGAAAATCAATTTTGGCACACAACATGACATCCCCTTCAATGTGAAGCATGAACAGAGAGGTAGTTTGAATACTATGTACAATGCTATGTTACTTCAAGTGAAAATGAAGGATTATGATAAATTATCACCACTTATATATGTATTATGTGACAACCATAACTGAAAATGACAAAATTAGCTAATTGTATTATACTCATGTTGTGCACCGCCCCTTCTTTCGCTTGCCCATGCTCTTTAGTATTGTAACCCATGAATCATGGAAATATTCATCATCTGATCTTCAGGAAGTTACTACAATAGCTAATGCCTGAGCAGCCGTTAAGACAACGTTTTGACAACAGGTATTGCGCTCACAGACGTGCATCGGCATATTCACGGGGGGGGGGGGGGGGGGGTCAGTCAGCTCCATAGTAAGCCGAAAGGGTGAAGGGGCACGAAGTTTGCCACATACATTGACTTAAGGGGGGGTGGGCACCTTGTCATTTATGTAGCTCCGTAGCACTGCGATGATCCCCCCCCCCCCCCCTGAAGAGAACCCTAGCAATGCCTGTGCTGACATGTTAGCTTTCCTAGCTGCAATGAGTAGAATATTCTAAGTCGCAAGCTTCTGAACAAGGAGAAGTTTACAATACGCAAAAGCAGAAACACATGGCAGCAGACGAATTCTCACAATAGATAAGGGAACGCGTTCAAGTAGTCTATCCTATATGAGCACCTCAGCAGGTGACTCGCCCAGATAAAGCTGAGCTGCTGCTATCAGCAGGGCTGGCCATGACAACCGCATTTTTCGCATTACGCAAGCTGGCAGGGCTCTGCCCGAAAATATCCTCTGATAAAAGCAAACCTGGCAAGTGCGCCAAAAACATGAGCTTCCTTGTGCAACCTGTGCAGCTTGCATACATAAGAGCTTCTTACTTTACATGAAAAGGATGAACTGGACGGTGCGCTAATGTTCATACAAGGGAACACGAATTATAAAAATCAATGTAAAGAATGCTCATCTGCCAGTGCACATCCAGCATTACAAGTGTGCTCTGAATTTCTGAGGGATAAATATTTTAGGCAAAAGCCAATAATAATACCAATGATAATAATAGCAATATTACTAAGACCACCCATAAACTGATGGAAGCTTTTCATAGTTAATTATGAAAGGGTGCTTGTTTAAGCCAAGTGACCATTGCATACATAGATTGTGAAATGAGGCTCCCATGCAGCCTGTTGTAGTCTACAAAGCCCGACAATGTGATTACCCTGGCGACCACATGAGTGAATGTGCATACATAATAATAAAATTTGAGGTTTTATGACCCCCCACCGCAATATGTATGTGAGGGATGCCATATTGAAGGACTCCAGAAATTTTGGCCTTCTGGTGTTATTTAACGTAGACTGATATCTCACAGTCAAGGGGCCCCTGGCATATTAACAGCAATGAAGAATACAGTTAGTAGGATGTTCGGACTTGTCCATGCCATCCTCGCCTTGTACAGTTTGAGCACAAACAATTTCCCCTTGAAACTATAAACCAGCTCGCCCTTTAGAAAGTGTAATGAACCAGCCTGTGAATGGAAGGTTTCAGACTGGAATAATTCACTCTAAAGTAAATAGCTCCTGCCTGGCTGTATTACAGGCTAGCTATTTTGAACAATCAACAAACATTCCTCTGTCGTGTACAGCTGGCTTTCCCGCAATGTTCTCGGTCAGGCTTGTGCCACTGAACCAACTGCTTTTATTAGCACGTGCACGCAATGTTTGTATTCTTTGTGAGAAGCAACATATACAGGTGTAGCTCCCATGTTGCAAACCATAAGCAAATGTTCAAATGCTATTATGCCAATACTTGCAGAACCCTCAATTATGTTAATGGTGACCAGTTCCTTCAGTGGCAAGTGCACATGATGTGGTAAAAAGGGGTCTTGAATTAGGAAAAGACACGCTGCAAGGCCACATCAGCCTGTTTGAAGGACTTCTAACAAATAAATCATTTGATCATTTGAAGAAACTTACAGGTAAGTTTACAAAAACTTGGTACACTGATATCTTTATTGACACAGTCTAACCTCACCTTCTAATGTTTCTCTCTTCCATAATTGTGTGTGAGTTTATGCCTAAGTCATTGCACATAACAACACTCATGTGCCTGCCTTGATATGCGAACGTTCTCGACCATACGCCATTACATACTTGACCTACATGGCATACAGTCCAGATGAAAACACCAAAATTTATCACTCCAATTGGTAATACGCTCCTGCCCGTGCTTGTACATATGGAAGCGCTTCAATGCTTGATATAACAATGCTGAACTGCCTTGTTATACTTTGCAAGAAACAGCCATTCAAGAGACTAAAGTCGTGATCAAGTGAAACTTACATATAAATTTAAAAAAAGCAGGCCTCGACAATGTGAAGTGGCACTCAACAATATTTCTCACATGATCAAGAATTAAAACATAGGTAGCATAGCTCAGGTACTTCAAAAGAACGGGTTAGGGCAGAAGAAAAGATGAGGGCAGTGAGCTTTGCTGGACCGCTGTAACGTTAATTGTGGAAAAAATTCATGAGTCATTATTGTCGTGCATTTACGTCAAGCAAAACAGCTCACATATCGTGATATATTGCCTTCTACTGCACAAGATGATTCTCGCATAAGAAAATCTGTACGGTCAATTTTTAACATTGATGTTCTTTGAAAATTGATGTCATTACCATACTCAGTGCCGTGAGTGCAGAAGCAAAGGAACATGGCTCTAAAACGAAAATATTATGTTTTTATGCGTCTTCTAACCAATCGCAACATTGATGTGGAAATTTAACTGACCCTGATGACCTGCTTCTGCCACACGGCACTATCTAGCATCGTTCAGCTTGTCCTGTACAATGAACCTCATATTCGTCGTCAAAGCGTGTCTGATAAGCTTTGAAAACCACATAGCACTACATCTGAATGGATCAAAATGCGGCGGTGACATTACACTTCTAAGCACGCACGAAGGGCACGGTTTCGACTCCTGGTCACGATGGCCGCGCTGAGATTGGGTAAAAACGAAAAATTCCCATGCCCCTTAGATTAGATACGCGTTCAGGGACTCTAGGTAGATACAACAAAGTGATCCAGATAGCTCCACTACTGAGAACCTCAAAAGCCATATCGCGATAACGTAGAACCGCATGCTGTTTTGTTGATATAAACGCAAACCAGAAGAAAGAAGTGCTCATCTGACAATGGGCGTCGGGCGATATCAATAGAAACAGTAAGACATGCACGTTTCGCATTGCGTGACACCACGGCCAAGATGTCCTTAACAGCTAGTATTGAGGACCTCCACCCTGTAATATCAACGCTGCTCGAGTCGCGTGGTGCAGATCCCGGCCAAATACGGCTATTTCGAGCTTGGCGCGTAGATTTTCACAGCGGCGCCTTCCGCATTTGCGACACATGTGCGGAAGCCTCGAAAGTGCCACAAGAAGAGCGAAACAATCGCGCGCGGACCACGCACTGTCTTCCTTCATCACTCACCGCTTGATCGCCTCATCCTCGCGAATGTTGGACCCGAAGAAAGCGAGCAGTAGGATGCCCGTGAGCACGCAAAAGAATCCGCTGACGAACCCGCAAAGCGACAGGTGGGCCAGGAATCGAAACGGCTGCTTCAACTTGGTCACCGCCCGGTACAGCTTGGCGAGGACCATTTTGGTCACCGTTGCCTTCCCCGCTGTCGCAGCCCTCTCTAGTGCATATCTTGGCGATCACCGATTCGCTGACGAGACACGCACAGAAAAGAGTGAACTGACAAGGGCAGTGTCGCAAGTTTGCCGGTCGTCCGGCGATGCTCTTTTCGCTGGAGGCGGGGCCCGCGTTGAGAGAAGGACGAAGGAACGACGCCGACGACGCTGCTGCAGACAACGACACTCGGCGCACCAACTTGTCGCTCCAAGGTGCGAGAGAGACGCCAAAACAAAACAACGCTGCCGATGGATTAGACTGGCTCGACTAAGGTTGCCAGTTGGCTCTGATTGGCTATAAGATCATGGCGGAAAAGTCAAACAAAGCGATCGACGCAGAAAGCGTGAGGTCCACAAAGCTAATGTAGATTACTTCCTATTGCAGTCTCTCTCCGTTTCTTCGACCTGCTTTGAGTGGTAAAGTCGAGGAAGGCTCAGAACCCACCTAATTTACTGCAAATAATTATCGGCTGACCGATACCTAGACGGGGATATGTGCCCAAATCCCCCGCCAGACGCTTTCTTTTTAAAATAAAATTGCGTCTCTCTCTCTCAGCTCGTTCTAGAAGGGTTGATAGACGGGCTAGTTGGTATATATTCATAATGAAATATTGGTTGGTTGAGAAAACTAACGGGACGCAAAGGAGACAAACGAGCGCAGACTAAAACGTGGTTTATTCATCGAATATATATTACCAGAAAGACAAGAAGGGATAGGGAAATGCAATGGAGAATGTTCCACCGTGGTCAAGTGTCGTCCAGAAACGAGATTTCACAATCTGAAGGTGATATAAACGGTGAGCTGATACAACTATCAATATTCTTTTTTATGAAAAAAGGCTTCCATAATCTCCCTAGGTTTTGTATAACGGTGGGTATAAATATATGATGGGCGAACGTTGGCCTGCGTGAACACTACAATGCGTTGAAGTCGGATCCGGGTCTGCGTTAGTCCGCGCATTGCACAAAGTGTGCTTGCGTACCTGAATTTTCGCGCGCGTCTATAATATGCACCAATTGTGACACAAAAACTAGGGAGATTGCAGAAGCCTTTTTCATAAAATAGAATAACGATAGTTGTCTCAGCTCACCGTCTATCTCACTTTTGGATCACCGCAAGGGCCCACTGTGGTGATCTGTGGGGCCCAATGTGGTGGCTAAGGTACTCAACTGCTGACCCGCAGGTAGCGGGATTAAATCCCGGCAGCGGTGGCTGCATTTTCGATGGAGTCGATAATGATGTAGGCCCGTGTGCTCAGATTAAGTGCACGTTAGCCCCAGGTAGTCAAAATTTCCGGAGCCCTCCACTACGACGTCTCTCACAAACATAGGGTGGTTTTGGGACGTTAAACTTCACATATCAATCAGCCCACCGCGATGGGGCATCCTCTTAATATTATACCCGTTAGATTAATTCTGAATTATTTCTTTTGTTTGTTGTTGGCTTTCCTGCAGAATTTGCACTTTTGGAATGATATTGATGGGTACCTGCGCAGACTCAGTTCGAAGTGCGAAAAAGAATTGCGTGGACATGTATTTCGTTAAATAGCATTTTTTCAAGGAGCTGCACATTTGTATTTACACCTGCTGTCCCGAAAACAGAAACCGCAGAGTTTGTAAATAAAATTAAGACAGGCTGCTATCCCTTTAATGGCTGCGTCCTTTCATGGAAACAATTTTTTTTTCGAAATTCAAAGGACAAGTTTCCGTCCCGCCAACTCTTGAACTTTCATCCTAACTCCCATCCATTTATCGTACCGCTCCACCGCCGATCCAATGGACCCGGTTTTGTTCACACACCGCCACCGGCAATTTTGGTAGCGGCGTACACGTCTACTCGGAAACGGTTCTAATGCGTCGTTCACACGATGTACGCGCGTCTGCACATACGCGCACGCTGTCAGAAATGAGTGCATGACGCAGGCTCAGGCCAGTAAAGTCCACAGTACGAAGGTTGCTTTCATAATCAAAGATACACGCGAAGAGACAGGTGGCATCACTGCTTATAGATTTCTCCAATCAAAGCCTGTGCCACATGATAATTTAAAGATCCTGATACATTTCAAGGCGCGAGAAACTATTTCGGCCAAGGAAGATTTGAATTGAGGCCCTGTTTTCGTTATGTAACATTAGAAAAAATTCTCTCACAATCGCTGCAATTTTCTGCATATCTGAAATAGTTATCTACTTTCAACAAAGACTTTTAAATTATAGCCACTACTTAGCCTTTGCTAAGCAATGGGTCAGTCAAAACTGTTCATCACACCGCCATGCTTTGCTATCACACATAGTGAAAGAGTTCATTGCTCAGAATCCTATTTGACAAAGCATATTCATTTTTATTGCGCAGCTGTAGCAGTCGGCCAAAACTTTAGCTATTCTGCTTGAGTGGAAGTTTTTTTTTTTTTGTGTATCTTTCCAATACCATTGAATTAAGTTTCAAAAAAAAAAAAAAAGGCGAGGACAAGTGTATGCCCTAAAAAGCACAATCCTCGAAGCAATTTTCTGCAACTTCGTTTCACAATACGGCGCTGACAGACAAAAAGTGGCCACTGCGCGGAATAGCTAAGTTTCGCCCGACTGTACATATATACGCAGAGCTAAGGGTGGATGTGATACGCCGGGGTTGGATGTCAGGAAAGTAGTAGTTCTTGGGCTGAGGCATGAGTGAGCTCATTTCTCAAATCTGCAGTGGCTGGGTATTCATATCAGCTGTTTCTAATCTCCCTATGAACGTGGGGCCGATAGCTAAGTAAGGATTTGGTGCGGCGCTGCGTGACACATGGACGCCATCTGGCAGTGCCGATGGGAATCACGAGCTTCTGCAGAACCGAGGGCCACTGCCAGGTGGCAGCACCATATTGTCGCCAGAGCACTTTTTCGAGCAAGCGTCGCATTTTCAGCACAGCGTAAGAAACACTAGTGTCTTTAGAACTATGTACCTATGTATTTTCTAATAGAGAAACAAACTGCCTGATACTTACAAACTGATGCTGGGCCTCCGTTGTGTGTAAACATTGCTTTTTGATCGACAATGTTCACAAGTATACATGACGCAGGGACCAGTTGAATATGGCTGCGAGTTCATAAAGTGCTTAACTTTGGCCGGGTGGCCAAATAATGTGACAGACAGACAGACAGACAGACAGACAGACAGACAGACAGACAGACAGACAGACAGACAGACCATATTCATGCATTAAAGTAGCTCAAGAAAGACTATCATTTTTAATCAATAGTTCAAATGTTCGGGTCCGAATGCCGATAGAACGCAGGCCGTCTGCCTTTCAAGCACGCGTTCTACCACGGAGCCCTGAGATTCGCAGAAACTGCTTCGAAAGAACCGATTATATGAATGTAATGTAGTGGAAAGAATCTCATTAACACATCATAGAAGCGTAGAATTGCGTCAGGCGTGAAGAGATGTGAGTTGAACAGTGAGTGGCTGTTCTAGAAGCTCACCAATTACAAAGCGCTCAGACGTATTCTAACATGATCATTAGTTGAACCATCAACAAAGCGAAGAGCTGCGTAGGGTTCGCGTTGTGCCCAATGGAGACGTAGCGTGTTCTTCGCTGATAAAGATGTAGATGTTGATCATAAATATTTGGTTCACACCCACCCTGGAGACTTGACTGAGAATGCTTAGAAAAAAAAAAGAAATATATATGGCGCACGCATGCTGAAACAATCTGCAACAAGCTCTTCGAAAATTTTGGTGTCTCCGATGCACGTTAAGCAACTCGACATAAGAATGCTGGCTGAAAGCGCATAAGACTTTGGTTAGACTCAAATATGCGTTGGTTGTTTGGTCGCCTCACCATAAACATGACACAAACGCATTGCAATGTGTTAGAAAGAGCCATTCTGCTTATATTTCGTAGTCATGCGTGACCAGCATTTATCGCCTACTTCGCACGCGCATGTTTTATTGTTGCAGCCTCTCTCGAACGTCGGCGCACTTGCAATTGTGTCATCCGCCTGAATAAATAATAAGGTTCAGACTGATTCGAGTGTTCTAGCCCCCATCTTCTTCGTTGATTTTTTTGCTAACTCTAGACTAGGTGATGGGATCTTCTTTATATTGTACCCATTACAGTATTTAAATGCTAACAAAGAGAATAATTTATCATTCAGTACAACACAAATATAGTTTTTTGTAAATTATTTTTCAGAAAAAAATGAGATGAACTAGTTCCTACTGAAATAGAATAAACGATTCATATAACACAAAATTTTCCTGCAGCCTACATTGGTTAACTCTGTTGCCTACATTGGTTAACTGAAAACTTTTGAAATTGAGTTTGAGTAAGTATCCTTGACTGTTCAATGAAATCTTGCCCAGCCTTGCATACTTTCACCTGGCTGTGCCTTAGGGTATGCACACCTTAGGGTAGTAAATTTGATGCTGTAAAATCTAATCCAAGGATGCATAATGGCGTTTTCAGAGATAACTTTCTTCATGTAGAAAACTTTCGGCAAGAGATCAAGAAGTGGTCTATAGTTTCCTCTTCTCCACAAAAAAATACAAAGCCAGGAGGGTGTCAAGCCTGCTCTGAATAAATAAATAAACACTGGACGAGTGATTAAAACTACAAAACCCACTGTGATATTGCATAGGAAGTTTTCCAGGGGGTCAGTAGATGATTAAAATCCGGGGAATGTCTTAAATACGGTGTGGAGAATTCTCCCACCATCATTTGCCTCTGAGATTTAGCCGCTACTATAAAAGCTGTTGTAGAGGTAATATTGATAGCGGGTCTGTCTAACACCGCTTCGGCTAGCGTGCATCAGCTGTTTCATTTAGAGTTAGACCTCTATGCCCAGGCACCTATACTAATCGTATCTGTGTTAACTGGATAGATACTAGTGAATTGAAATCTTTTAATGCTTTTCAATCACCGGATGTCGTGAGCACACTGCAAACCGATAGCGAGTTCGTTATTATTACGGCGGAATTCATTGGTGTTGTCAGTTTCCAAAAGGCTAATACTACATACAGATAAAAATTATGCAATTAAGATGCGTGTGAAATCTGGAATACGGAGGGAAAAGGACCAGTACAGAATAAGGCAGAATATGCCGATGTCACTCTTCTCATCTCTCCGTGAAGCTTCTGCCAGTATTATCCCTTTTGCTTGTATCATTTGCAGGTAGTCCTGTAAAGTTGTTCTTAACATATTACTCGGTATGTGTTTTGCACTACTTGAGAAAATGCCATCAAAGTATATCAGAAGATAATTTGTCGAGTAACAGACCGGAATAATTTACCTGATGTTCGTGGACAGTGGATCTAGAAGAGATTGTACTAACTTTCCTTTAGGTGTGGAAATCTATGCTAATGACAATAAAAGATAAACCAGCTAGCGCAATGAAAGCTGTGTTTTTACGCCTTAAAGGGGAAGAAAATGCCATTATAATAGGGGTTGCAGGGCGAGCACAAAAGTGCTGGAAGAAAAGCGAACAGAAGGCAAGGAACAGAAAACAAAAAGGGACAACACGAGTCCCTCTTTGCCTTCCGCTCCTCGCCTTCAGTTCGCTTTTCTGCCAGCACTTTTGTACTTGCGCTGCAACCCTTAATAAAATAGAATTTAACCAACTAGCCCGAATAGCCGTTCTGATAGAAATGCTCTAAATGTGTTTGTACAGCCAATATTCTGAATCTGGTGACAAGGGACTGAATTCTAGCTTCCATACGTTAAACATTATTCGCTACAAATTTAGGGAGCCAAAGCACATGCGCAGAGCCTGCTTCTCCATAAGAACAAGAGGACGCAGATGCCCAGGACTATAAGACATCCAAATTCAAGAACCGGTCTGACATACATACGGTATATGTATAATAAATGGCTCTACGCATTCCTTATCTCCCGTAGCTTCGTAAATGAAATCCTAGTAGGGTCGTGGGCACTTAATAAGTGTGCTTGCTGTAGGCATTCGATTATACTTTCATTTCCTTATGGCACGGTTGAGGCACGTACCGAGAACCGATGCAGGTTAGCATTTCAGAAGGTGATTGCGCACATGGCCCGACCCGACGATTACGCAATCGCCGACCTACTCTCGACGGTGAAACTCCAGCGGCGTGCAATTCTTTAGGCGTGAAGCTCCTCAGGCCCGTACCTCACACGGGGAATGTCTTAAATACGGTGTGGAGAATTCTCCCACCATCATTTGCCTCTGAGATTTAGCCGCTACTATAAAAGCTGTTGTAGAGGTAATATTGATAGCGGGTCTGTCTAACACCGCTTCGGCTAGCGTGCATCAGCTGTTTCATTTAGAGTTAGACCTCTATGCCCAGGCACCTATACTAATCGTATCTGTGTTAACTGGATAGATACTAGTGAATTGAAATCTTTTAATGCTTTTCAATCACCGGATGTCGTGAGCACACTGCAAACCGATAGCGAGTTCGTTATTATTACGGCGGAATTCATTGGTGTTGTCAGTTTCCAAAAGGCTAATACTACATACAGATAAAAATTATGCAATTAAGATGCGTGTGAAATCTGGAATACGGAGGGAAAAGGACCAGTACAGAATAAGGCAGAATATGCCGATGTCACTCTTCTCATCTCTCCGTGAAGCTTCTGCCAGTATTATCCCTTTTGCTTGTATCATTTGCAGGTAGTCCTGTAAAGTTGTTCTTAACATATTACTCGGTATGTGTTTTGCACTACTTGAGAAAATGCCATCAAAGTATATCAGAAGATAATTTGTCGAGTAACAGACCGGAATAATTTACCTGATGTTCGTGGACAGTGGATCTAGAAGAGATTGTACTAACTTTCCTTTAGGTGTGGAAATCTATGCTAATGACAATAAAAGATAAACCAGCTAGCGCAATGAAAGCTGTGTTTTTACGCCTTAAAGGGGAAGAAAATGCCATTATAATAGGGGTTGCAGGGCGAGCACAAAAGTGCTGGAAGAAAAGCGAACAGAAGGCAAGGAACAGAAAACAAAAAGGGACATTACGAGTCGCTCTTTGCCTTCCGGTCCTCGCCTTCCGTTCGCTTTTCTGCCAGCACTTTTGTACTTGCGCTGCAACCCTTAATAAAATAGAATTTAACCAACTATTCCGAATAGCCATTCTGATTGAAATGCCCTAAATATGTTTGTACAGCTAATATTCTGAATCTGGTGACGAGTGACGGTATTCTAGCTTCCATAGGTTAAACGTTATTTTAAATTTAGGGAGCCCTAAGCACATTCGCAGTGCTTGCTTCTCCATAAAAACAAGATGACGGAGATGCCCAGGAGTATAAGACACATCCAAATTCCAGAACCGGTCTCGCATACATACAGTATATTGATATAAATAGGCTCTACGCATTCCTCATCTCCTGTAGCTTCGTAAATGAACTCCTAGTAGCGTAGTGGGCACTTAATGAGTGTGCTTTCTGTAGGCATTCGATGATACTTTCGTTTCCTTATGACATGTTTGAGGCACGTACCGAGAACCGATGCAGGTTAGCATTTCAGAAGGTGATGCGCACATGGCCCGATTACGCAATCGCGACCTACTCTCGACGGTGAAACTCAAGCGTCGTGCAATTCTTTAGGAGTGAAGCTCCTCAGGCCCGTACCTCACCGTCACCATCACCGCCAAAGCTCCCAGCACTGTGCAAGCTCGCCGAGAAAAACAACAGGTGTGAGCTTCCGACAGATGGCTCACGCCGCACACTCACTCGCTCAGTCGTTCCCGCCGCCGAACGCAGCAGACGCTCTCGCCACCCGCTCGCCCCCGCATACTGCCTTCATGAAAGCCAGCAGCGAGATCAGGCACCTAGTCGTTCGCGTCCCATTTCTAAGGAGCTTCGATCATCGGTTGTATTCGTAGAAAGAAGTGCTAGTTTTTTGTTTTCCTAGCCTCTCCTCCTCCTGTTCATGTAGAAGATGCGCTGATGTGGAGAATGAAAATAGGCTCGAATGGCGCGGACTGCGTGACGCTAGCCATGCATCAGCATGCCATTTTTGATTTGACGCCGGGAGAAGGCTTTACTGTGACATTTGGTAAGGGTGGCGGTTCGTGTCATCCATAGCCCCCGCGCGAGGTTTTACGTGGGTAAATTTCTCACCAGCCGTCCCAGTCGCCGTTGTTGGGACTCCGGGTCCTGCCGGTCTCGTTTTTGGTAGCTGGCCCCGTAGCAGGATCCATCGTCCGACAATTTAGTGAGAACAAGCGCCCGAACAAATGAGAAGTGATCAACTGATCCAAAGAGAGAAGAGAGAGAGATACAAAACGTCTTCGGCATTTTATAGCGCCGCGTTGTCGACACTGGGCGCATTGTCCGCATCGTCAATACGGTGGCCCCGGCACCTCGGTCACGAGGGAGGGGGAAACCCACCTCACAACACATGGAGGGGAACAACCTAACACGATGCCCAAATATGGTCACGGTGCCCTAAAAAAGGCCCAAACATGGTCACGAATGCACAGCAGACTCCGGAATTCTCCCGGCGAGAGGGAAGAGCTTGAATGGGGAGGTGGGGGTCGACGACACAGTCGGTCAAGAACCGCTTCTCCCCGCAACTCCTCTTGCTTGGTTTCCTAGCGCAAAACCAGTGCGTTGACCTTTGTTTTCGCTTGGCTGCAAGGCCATCTCAGGTGCAGGCTATCCCGGGAATGCGTTGACGATCTCCCAGAGGGGTTCGCAAACTTTCGGATAATCCCAATGCTGGGGCCGGTCGTAACACCGTGCTTCTGAGCGAAAAAGTGTAATGGGTCTCGCGCGCCCGGCTACCGCAGGAGGCGCGTTTACAGAGGCGTCCGGCGGCAGCGAAGGCTGAGGCAGAAAGGAAACTGCCCGGCATCTCAGCGTGCACAATTAAGTGGTTATTTTCATGTTAAAATGTGCGTTTCCGCATCAAACACAAGAAGCAGTCACGGACCTCACTGATGCCCCGAAACCCAGTGTCGGATACTGCATTTATTCTGGCCCAATTTACGAAAGAAAGCACGACCTCTGCAGCGCGCGCTCGGGGCAAACCACGACCGTGAAGCTGGCGAACTGCCTCCACTCTGCTTCTGCCTGATTGAACCAAGAGCCCCTTTCCGACTGCGGTGGCACTCCTCGGGTCGACTTGTCGAACTCTCATTGGGGCTCTCTGGGTTGTCCTGTTCACATGTCATTGGCCTTTGAAATCTCCGTGGTCACTTCTGACTGGGCCACTTTCCTTTTATGTTGTTTATGTAGCAACCTAGTGCCGATGTTCCTCGTCGTCGTCTTCCCCCGTCTATTGTTTCCGCGTGCACTCGAAAAGCATCGCTAACCCACACTCTTCAACTATAGTGTCACAACGACGTAACGTTCGTCTACACTTCCCTGCTCATTTTTTCGTCATACACGTAAACTGTGTCAAGTTCAACACATGGCACAGTTTGCAGACGACAACAAGGAGTCAATGAAGTAGTATTCTGCAATTCTTTAATAATTGATTTGAAAAATTAGCTGCTGCATAGACAAAACAAGTGAATGTTATGGAAGAATGAGAGTCTGAAGCCCTTTCACACTTGCCGAGTTTATTCGAAACCGTTTGACTCCACATTCGGACCAGTCCTTATAATCCGCATGCACCTCGTGCCTGCCTTGATTCCTTCCTTGATTTGTTTTTTCTGAAAGAAAGAATTGAAATATTGAAGCACACTTTGGGCATCAAATGTCAACGGACACCTCTCGTACTTCTATGCCCACACATTGACACACACAGCTTTATATAAGAATTTTTACGACACATATATGCAGCGCTTGCTCGCAATATTTTTCTTTGCTAACTCTAAATTTGCAAGTACAACCATACAGCCATTCTTGAATTAGACTTTAAGGAGGCATTTGACCACGTGAAACATGCACAAGTATTACATAATTTAGACGGAACGGGCTGTGGAAGACGAACATTCAACTACATCAGGAACTTCGTAGGTGGCGGAAATAATGAAAATCTTAGACATGAAATCTGCACCATTCAGCATGGGCACCAAGGGTACACCCCAGTAGGTCGTCCTCCTTCCCGTTGGTTTTTAACATACAACTCCTGCAGCTCCTCAAGAAGCTCAATACCATACCCTATATTCGGCATGCACTATACGCGGATGATGTTACAGTCTGGACCACACATGGAAGTCTAGAATAAATAGAGGAAGGTCTCCAAATGGCGGTCGATGAAGTACATCCCCAAGCCGAAGCACGCGGCTTCCGATGTTTTCCAGAAAAGTCTTAACAGCTAATTTTCCGGACAAATGGGGACAAGGCCATGGTTCACGTTTGGGTACATTACACCCCAATCCAGAGCAAGACAGCATTCGGATTCTTGGAGTCGCATTTAGCAACACTGGCGCCAACTGGGCCATGCTGAATAAAGTACAATGCACATGAGAGCAAATAACGCGCATGCTCTCTTGATCTGCCAATAGCAACCAAGGCTTAAAAAAGCATGACATCCTACGGCTATTACAGGCTTTCTTAATATCCGAAATATCTTATGGCACTTGCTACCTTCACTTACAGAAATGTGACATACATACATTAAATGTCCTAATTCGTAACGTCTACAAGAAGGCACTAAGTTTACCACAGAAAATATCTACCACGTGGCTTCCGATATTTGGCGTCCACAACACAGCCGAAGAACTAATCAGAGCTCGTCTTACGAACGAAATTATGCGCCTGGCTACTACTAAAACAGACAGGAAGGTTCTGCAAGATGCCCACATATTTGTTACCTCTACAGCGTCGGACAGGCAAAGTATGCCATGAATGGCGAGGCTATTTTCTGACGAATCCTTTGCCCAGAATTACGCACCCAGATTACTATCACAGAAAAAAAGCAGCTATAAATAAAGCATTGAATGGATGCTATGGTAACCAGAGGGAGCCTACTTTGCAGACGCTGTGAGCCCCGTGGGAGGAATTTTTACAACAGCAATAGTTCACCAAAGTAAAGCAGTTGACACCTAGTCTATCACTAAAATGCTCTGATGTATCTATTGTAGAGGAAGCTGAGGTGCACTCAGCACGCACTTCACTGTGGAATACACACTTTGAGATTCGGAGGTAGCCTACCGGAACTACATGAGAGTACGTACTTCACCTCCAGCTCACGCCATCCTATCGCAGACACGAACACGACCGACGACAAATCAGCACATCTGGGTGTCAGGTCAACAGGGGGTAGCTGGAAACGAGCTAGCACACAACTCGGCCCGAGCATTCCTTCCCGGGCTCTGTCTGCCCATCAGGCCAAGATATTAAATCACCAATACCAGCTACAACATACACAGGTATACTGCTGCTATATCACCTACGAAGACAAACTTTACCCCACCCTGATAAGGGACTTACTAAAGCCGAGGAGACCAGTCTACGCAGCTCCAAACCATGTCGTACAGCAGCGCGTTAATAATGGCCAAAATAGATGCAGAACAATTTAGTGCATTGTTCATATTTTGTGGCAGCCGCGCTGACCTCTTTCACGTGGTTTGGGCCAGCAAATCTAGTAGAAGCGTCGTGCTAACTACCCAGTCAACGTGGGAGGGGTGGGAGGAGGCTTTGCCGAGCCCAGCTCTCGAGAACCAGTGAAGACACGTGGAGCGGGCGCGAATAGCAGCGCAATCCAACGCAGTCCCGGAGTCCCAATTTTTATTAATTGCAACTGAAGTGAAGACTACAGAGCCAAATTACGTCTATCCTACCGCAATCGAGCTCAGTTACACAATTGCGTCCGTATTGTATACGTGACGTACAAAGACTATTCCTTTTATTTCTTGACGTAGGTCTTCGAGAGTGTATGCAACACATGCCAGTAGGATCTTTGTATTTATTTCACTTTACCCGTTGTCACTTTTCGTTTTTGCGCGTGTGGAAAGTCACACGCGGAACTCAAATGCTAAGCGCTGTCTGCGTCGATATGTTTAACTTCTGATTGCGCGCAGCCATTACTTCCCACAGCGATACGAGACGCGCGCCATACCTAACAACTTCGCGTAGGAGTACAGGTGAAAAATCTTCGCCCCCATAGCCACTGCACACTTTTGCTAGCAATGAAGAGAAACTTCATCGTCAACAAAAACTGTCAGTGAGCATAGTGCCCCTACCTATTCGCATGGACTTGCTCTAAATGATCTGTTTGTGGGCGTCATCGATCGAGACGCAAGATAGTACGGGCCCTCTGAACTCCGGGCGAGCTCTTCGAAGGAATACTGACAGAAATTTTCGTTAGGCAATACTAAGTATGAGTGCCCCCTGAATAAGTGATCAAAGCATGTTTCAAGAAGCTAGTTTTATATCTGCTGTACCCTGACGCCACAACACGGCATGAGCTTCTAGTGCAAGATATCGTGACATTTGTGCGGCTGCTCCCCACTGTGGCTCCCTTGATGACGCAAGAGCGGCCGTTTTGGAAGTTTTGGTACCTGACGTGATCACAAGCGAGACTGCTGCGTGAAGTCACTACAAGAAGTACTGTGTAGAGGAACAAGACGAGACAGTGCCGGTTGAGGCCATGCCACGGTCACAGCTTTTATCAGGCGAAGGTGAAGAGAGGGACGAAATTGGTTGCGGCTGACGCGTCCAGCAGGACCAAGAGTCCGAGCATTCTTATCTCCATGTGGCTCGCGCATCCCCTGCCACGCGGCTCTCTTCTTCATTGTAGCACCGTGGTAGACACCGCGTCTACCACGGTGCTACAACGACCTTACACTGCAGGATAGTGTAGATGTCGGTAGGTGAACAAGGGAAAATTCAACATATAAACATTGTTTATTTGCAGGAAAAAGATACAGAATTGGCCCATGGGAACAAAAGACTAAAGGCTAAAAGCCTGACGAAGTCTCACCTCCTATTTGACTTTAATATCCAAATAAAACATTTTATCAGGACTTGCGGAGCTTCACACTAGTTTAGAGCCGTCTCTGTATACAGGATATTTGTATGATGGAGTCTACTCACTTTCGTAAACGGCATGCTAGAAGTTGTTGGGAGAGCAGGGTATATATGGTAACTTCTACGGCTCAACTTCACCTCGGCAATGCAACGCCCGGGAGCGCAGGGTCAGTTCAACGGTGCGGTTGTCGCAGTTACAGTACAGTAATCTGATAGTAAGTGTTGATTTGCGGAATATCAAAGTCGTACTCAGACTTCCTCCGAACACGTCCCCTGGCGGAGTTAAGAAGTTAAAGGTATCGAACACACTCGACGAGCTGATTGAGGCTACTCTTACCACACAGAATCAAAGGCTACTCGTATCTAAAACGGGGAGAGCAATATTAAAGACTAAGGTTACGAGCCCAAGTCTGAGCAAGTGCTTTCAAAAACGTAGTGGTACAGATCAGGGACAGGATGCAGATACCTCCGCTGCCCAGGAACATGAACCCTGCCTTTCCCGAAGGTAGTCGTAAAGCCAGGGCAGTGGAATTAGAAACCAGGTATTAGGTGCGAGGCCCACCACTGGAGGCGTGAGCGCTGCGATCGCTGTGACGTTCAGGGATGGATCGCGTGATCTCGCCTCACCCTGGCGAAGGAAAGCTGGCGGTTGGATGCGGTGTTTTTAACAACGACTTCGTGGTGTTTTCATTTTTGAACACCATTGTATTGCTCTGACTTGAGATACGCGGACTTTTGCTGACCACACAATGCAAAAAGTAGCAGCACAAGTTACCGGCAGCGTGCCATAGTTCGCTGCGTATGCGATGCCACTGTCAAGGCCACTGGCAATGCCACTGTCACTTCTCTCTTTCTTTGTTCACGTTGTTATTTAGAGCCCATGGGGTTTAAAATACCATGAACCATGGTCATTCATGTAAAAGCAGACCATGAGCATTCATATAAAAGCAGGTCGTTTCAGTTTCCGCACGGAAGCCTCCATCACAGCGAAAAATGAAAGTGCAAACAATCCGACTACGCATATTTAAAAAAAGTAGAAAAAAGTAGTGTACATGTGTGGGAAGTTGCCATTATTACATTAAAATATGTGCGCCGTTGTCTGAATCGTCAGTCATGATAGCCTGGTAGTCGAATTCTTTTTTTCTTCATTTTCGCTGTTCTCACCCTACTTTGGTGTAATTCATGGCAAGTTGCTTTCGTAAACTCGGCCAGCATGTTTGACGAGACCTTCTTTCTTACATCATACATGTGCCTCTTCAGTCTTTGCTAAAGCTTACTTCTCTCGCCAAGGTAACCTTTACCGCAGTCTGCGCCACCATCATCCTCCTCCCCGGGTGTTTATGTGGTTCTAAAAGGGAAGAGAAGAGAAAAGTGAGCCCCCTAACTATCTCCATCAGAGTGCGACACCTCAAAAGTATCTCTCAAGGGATTGGGGTATGGAGGAATTGAAAGGATAGGATTAAAAAGTATGTATATAGAGAGGAAGGAGAGAGCGAGGCGCAGAGACATCAAACGACGCAAGTGAAAAGGAGATAGGTAAGGTGGACAGGGTCACAGGAGTCCGAAGATGGGGCACCACTCGGCGAGAGCTCTTGTCGGCGTCAGGAGATGGCGTAGGGGGAGCCCAGTCGGCCAAAGCTACGCTGTCGTCGGAGATCATGGGGGCACAACCAGTCGGCACGAAATCCAGTGAGCGAGTCCCTCTCCGAGTGTTCGTCGCCATGTGTGTACCCGACCACACGGGTTTTCACTCGCCAGTGGCGTAGCTAGGGGCTGGCACACCAAGTTCGTGCCCCCCGCCTCTAAAAACATTTCCATTGTGTATGCGCACAAAATAATAGCCCACCACTGCTGCCATGCCCGTGCCGAACTCTTATCAAGGTGGTGCACCCTCCGAAACGGAATTTCTGCCAACGCCCTTGCCGTCCGCAACTTCAGCTCACATGTTTCATTCCTTGTTCATAGAGTACGTCTGTAGAATGGGACCATAGTCACTGTCACTTTTCAATGTTGTTTTTATCTACGGGTGAAAATGTCGTCAGCTTCCAGAACTGATTCATCTTCTTAGATCTGCCGTGAAATAGAACGCAGCCTCTGAATGAAGCTGTAAAAAAAAGCTGGACATTGGCAGTTATACTGAAACACGAAATTGCCATTTAAATCCCGCTGCGCGAAACCTCGCAGCATGCACATTCAAGAGCGCAAAACGATACGGCTGGCTGATCGCATTTTTCATCATAATTTACCCCTTGATATTAGCTGTGGAACTGAACTAATCATTCACAATTTTCACCATGTGTGGCTCGATCGTGATAGAATGTCCAATGTGTGACCACCATATAAATTTTATGCAATAAATATTAGGATCCTGCCGCAGAGAAAAGTTACAACTCTCAATGAGGCACACGCGTGCGTGATTCTCACATTTGCCCGCAATGATAACAGAAAGGTAGCGGCTGCATGCGGCTGTAAGAATAATGTGTTAATCTGCTGGCGCTGTATTTTGTAGGGCTAAGTGTGCTGAACAAAAATGTAATTTGCGCATGCTTGTCATCTCAACCGCGGCCCCTCTTTAGACGTAAACCTAAAATGAACGAAGTAGCATGGCTGCGTTGTGCACATTTCTCACAGCAATGATAAGTTTATCTATCGTTTATGCCCATTTGGTACTTCAATTCGACACAAAATGAGTTGCCGCCTTTTACAGAAGCGGCGCGCTCGGCCCCCGTGATTTTCATTTAGGTGGCCATGGCAAACGACGCTGGCAGTCAGGCATTTTGAGAAGCGTGAAACTCTTTCAGGACAATTATTTAGCACTTTGACAGTCTGGGGGAAAAGCTGCAGCAGTATTTTACTGATTTAGTTCAACGAAATACAATATTATAATAATAAATATAGCAGACGCGAAAGCGGCTGCGGGCTGTGCGAGAGGGCGACGGAGCGATTCAACCACGTAAGTCACAGGGACACCTCCGCATGGTGGCGCCACGGTATGTCCTCACGCCCAATACGGTCGCCAGGACGTGGTGTACACAGACACCGCTAAATATGAAAGCAAAATGGCACACAAGGCCGTGGCGGTCAGGGAAGACTGCACCCTGATAGCTTGGTGCACAGTCAGTGGTGTCGAGACTGTAGAGGCCGAGGAAGCGGCTATAACCTTGGCCGTCAGCCAAAAGGGGGCCAGGGCGCTCATCAGCGACTCCAAAAATGCCGCGAGAAATGAAGAGTCGGGAGAAGGGTGACCGAGGCTGCCTTCCGCATATTAAACATGATAAAATGACCAAAGAGATGATTCTGCTCATCTGGGAACCAGCTCACCAGGGACATAAAGAGAACAAAAAGGCTCATTCGGTCGCCCGAGGTCTCACCCGCCGGTCGACGCCCGGGACCTCACAAGTTACCGAACTTACAAAAAGAAATGAGTATATGTGTGCACATCATGAAGTCGTAGCAAATTGCAGGCTAAATCGGTAAACATACCCGGGAGCGAACAGATCGAGCAGTAAGAAAGACGAGGTTATGTGGCGAAGCATACAAACCGGCGTTTTTCCAAATCTCGTATTTTATTGGCAAGTGACACCAAGAAGTTTCGCGGTTCTAATGCAAGTTTTGTGCTGAGGAGGCAAATTTGGTCCACTTGGTGTGGACATGTCCGAGTAAGAACGATGATTCGCGGACTGAATCCTGGAAAGCTCTGCTCCGAAGCCTAAAGTCCAACGTCCAGCAAAACATAATCAGCCATCCTTGATGCGGCCTTGTCCCAATGTATTCCGGCCAACGGCTAGCGGCGATGGCCATGCCTGACATTGTTGACTCACTTTTATTACATAAAAATTTCTCCCTCTTTCTCGCTGTTGATGTACACACGTGGTTGGTGTACCAACTAAGAACTGACAGAGTAAAATGGGTGTCTTTTTGTACCCCAACAATAATGATCATATGCATTACGTTCCTTCTTTGGCAGTGTTGCCACGCGCCCGGCATTTTCAGGTCAAGAATGACATGCACGTCATCAGTGTGTCATAGCATTCTTGACAGGAAAGTGGCCAGCACTGAGTTTACAAGACAGAAAGTGCAAGCAAGCAAGCAAGCTAGAAGATGAATATTGTTGCGGGACAAAGGACACCCTTTTTACTCAACTATTTTTTATAGTTCAGAGCCGGGGGTCTCAAAACTCACCCCAGCTTGCGAGCACGTGTCAAAAGATATGTGTTGTTTCATAGTCGGGACCGTAAACAAAGGTGTGAGCATATGGTAGGGTGAGGTGGGGGGGGGGGGAAACTGGTTGAATGAAACGTCAGCTGAATAACGGTGCCATCCGAAAGTTTCTTCCCATTCGTATAACGGTGTTCTGACAAGGTAGGCGTCGCAGGAGTCGAGAAATACGCCACTGATCCGCACAATGATGTACATCTGAACACCGATTGTGAAATATAATTTTTTTTGTGGCACGGTTATAATTCAACACACGGTGACCCCATAGAATGCCTCACGAAATATATGGGACAAAGTCAGCCATGTGTGAGCTACTAGCAAAAGGTGCGTGAGTAGCATGTTTGATGACCCGGTAGTAGAGGTATACGTTAAGTAGATCATGCAATTGTGCAACAGTATATGCGGAATACTTACAGTAAAGACCTTACGTAAACTAAACGTTGCTTGCTGTAAAGAGAAAAAAAAAACAGAGAGAGTAATAAGAGGCCAAAGTAAGTACAGTGCCTTCGTAGCAAACAGGAAAGACAGCGTTCTCAGAGGAACCGTAAAAATAGGAATAGTTATCTATAAAACAAATTATACAAAACTACTGCAAGCGTACACTTGTGTATAAACTTGTCTGCCATGGCAAGCTCGCCACTCTCATCGCCAACGGAAGATGTCGTTGCTGTTTCCAGCTAAGAAATGTTGCTCCAAAACATCGCACACTCCTTATAACTAAGAAACATTAATGACTGTTCTGCGAGACTTCGATGATATGTGGTTTGCAAAACGCAGCATGCTTGCTGTTTTCGCAAGCACTTGTACTAGACTCTTAACTGCGATTAACACCAGGAACAAAAAAAGGTGTTATTATATATAGACGAATACATCGGAAGACTGTATAGTAATAATAGTAATCTTGCATTTTTTCGTAAAAAAATAATTATATGATGACGACCAATGATCGACGTCAACTGTGCGGTAGAAAACCCGGACGACAACAAGATAAGGACAATAGCACTCCTACGCACGTCCGTGTGTTCTTGTCATCTGTATTCTCTACCGCACAGTATGCCCCGCCGCGGTGGTCTAGTGGCTAAGGTACTCGGCTGCTGACCCGCAGGGCGCGGGTTCGAATCCCGGCTGCGGCGGCTGCATTTCCGATGGAGGCGGAAATGTTGTAGGCCCGTGTGCTCAGATTTGGGTGCACGTTAAAGAACCCCAGGTGGTCTAAATTTCCGGAGCCCTCCACTACGGCGTCTCTCATAATCATATAGTGGTTTTGGGACGTTAAACCCCACATATCAATCAATACCGCACAGTATACGTCGATCATGAATCACCAACAAGCCATGTTGCCCACTTTGATGATGATGAAGCCCACTGTAGTGGAGACCTCGGAAATTTTCACCACGTGGTATCCTTTACCTACAAATTGTCCTCTATTGCATTCGCATACATCCAAATACAACAGTTACATCCGGGATCCAACTCGTGACTTTAGAAGTCACAAAAAAAAAAAGCGAAATCTCAAGCGAAAATTGCTCAGCCTTCAAAAGTAGGTCGAGATTACGTAATGAGGCGTCTTGCGCACTGCCTTCTGAACTGGTAAAGTGTAACATTACTCAAAAAAGAATCAGCTATTTTGAGCCTTGACATTCGCCGCCGCATCTCTAGTCTCAGCCTTTTTCATAAGTTTTTTTCACAGAACGATTCGACATCCCTACATCGCCCCACCGGCCCGCATATCTCACCGCACGTGTCATTCACTTCAAGTGGCCCGGCCACGGATTACGATGACCACCTTTTCTATGTCCTTCTTTGTTCGGACGGCAAAAGACTGGAATGACCTTTCCCATGATGTCGTCACCACTGAATGCTCATCATGTTTTTTTGATCGATTATATGTCCACTTTTCGAGATAAAAACTTGTGGCAATAAAAAAATTATATGTTAACCCACCCCTTATGTAATACCCCTCGAGGGGTCTTTAAGGAAAATAAAGTTATGTTATGTTATTTTATGTTATGCTATATAGCTTTCTTTGGTTCTCGGTGCATGCATCAGTCGTACCGTTAGAAAACGAATGACTGTGTGCGTAACATGGACTGTTTCAAAGTGTTATTGAATGGCTATGCAAGCACAGTTATTAGGTGTCCCCCTACTCCATATTTATTCCATCTGTGAATAAACGAAGGGCCTACTTTGCGCACGTATAGGGCAAGACGTCAACGTAGCAGCTGCTCATTTTGTTGATGGTTTTGCTGTGATGATAATTAACATGTCCGAGCGCTTTGTAACAGGTGGGCCTTCAAAACACTCACTCGATTCTCATCAATGCTCAATTCCCATCGTTTGACGCCCGGCATGATTCTAAGCTTTTGCCACGCATTGTGTGATACGTTAAGCAGACTCCTTCCGCTACAAGACATTCATATACAGTGCGTTTTTTCCAAACTAGTTTCAACAAGTATCGTGGCTCTGTGGTAACCCAAACTAACGTTTTCAATATTGTGACTCGCACGTTCGTGTTGTACCAGTTATGCCACGACACACCCGCAATAATTGTAAATGTTGCTACAGTTGAACTGTTTGCTACAGTTGCTACAGTTGCTACAGTTTATATCTAAGAACACCGACATTATTAACATGTAGCGCGAAAATAATACTAATCTTTCTTGTGAGGGGGTGGGTGTTTTGATATAAAGCGCGCAAGACCAAAAGGGACGTATGCTGGACTGGTGCTTTTCTTACATCGATGTGTGTTTAGTGCAACCCGGATGTCATACGCCATAACGCATGAAACTATGTGCGCCAACGTGTCGATTTTTCATCATTGTGATACATTTGCGTACAAAATGGCAAACTATTGTTGGGTTTTCATACTTAGTCATTTTTCATAAATACACAGAAAAGGCTCGCTGTAGGTATAGAGCTGCGGTTGATATTAGAGCGTTGTTCATTGCAAGTATTGTTTATTGATTATTATGTGGAGTTGAACGCCCCAACACCTCCATATAGTTATTAGAGACGCCGCAGTGGAGGGCTTCGGTAATTTAGACCAACTGAGGTTCTTTGACGTGCACCCAAATCTGAGCACACGGGCCTACAACATTTCCGCCTCCATGGGAAAGGCAGCCGCCGCAGCTGCGATTTGATACCGTGGCCTGCGGGTCAGCAGCCGAGTACCTTAGCCACTAGACCCCCGCGGCGGGGCTTCAAATGTTGCTGACGTCCTATCTACAAAGGGCAAATGCTGCTGACTCATGTATTGTGTGATGTCAGTGCATGCTAAGGAACCTTTTGTGGTCGAAATTTCCGAAACATCCACTGTGGCATTCCTCATATTGATATAGTGGTTCTGGCAAGCAAAATTATTGCGGAATTTTCGAATCTGGGCCCCAAAAGTTTGGAGCTAGCCCCAAAGCCTCTTGCGTGTGCTCACTTTGGCTCATCATTAATGTAAAGAAGAGGAAGTAGCCGGCGCAGAGGCAGCAGCAACCACCTTCCCATTACGTTTGAAAATAGGTTCCCGAGGTTTAGTTTGGCAGGGAAAGTTGACTCATTCGTAAATTATGCTAAATTACAAAATGCTTAAAATCTACGTTAACTTTTCGCGAGGAAATGCAGGAAGACCTTAGGGCTATGAGTCTTTGTGCGGTGTTGAAACGATCATTAAAAATTAAACGTTTACAGTAAACTCGAACACAGCAGCATCTTTTAGCCCGTGGTGGAATCTAGAATGTGTCAGGGGGTATAGAAAGCGAAAGGCGGCTTGGAAAAAGCTGTTAATTAACCAATGACCCGAAAATTAGAGTGATTATAAATTCATGGCCGCCGATTTTAAGCGTCTAGTGCGCAAAGCAAAAGATGACTATGATATGAATAAATTTAATTATCTGTCTAAGTATAAAAATAAGGAAATGCTTTTCAGGTTTTTGCGTGCGAGAAAAATGATTCCACAGACAGAAAGCAGTCATTCCATCATTATGTCTCCTCGCGAACTCTCTGATTTCTTGGAAAATATTGCTAAAGGCTTGCAAACCAGGTTTACGACAATTATGCCAAAGTCCATGGTAAAATTAAGGGTGGATTGTGATTTCCAGGAGGTATCTTTAGCTGAACGGGCGGATGTGATGAAGAGCTTACCGCCCGCTGCTGCCGGACCTGATGGGGGGACCTCTACAATGATTAAAGTGCTATACGAAATATCCCCACATGAAATACGTAATATAGTTAATTATTCACTGAAAAAGTCCTGAATTCCGGCAGATTGGAAGCTTTCCAAAATAATTCCGATACTTAAGAAACAGGGAATGGAGTTTACTCTGGATAACATAAGGCCTATTTCATTTACATCTAACCTGGTCAAGCTTGTAGAGAGAGTCTTAAATGCCCGTATAATAAACTACATCAATGAACATACAGTACTAAACCCCAGACAAATTGACTTTAGATCGGGATACTCCATTTGGTGTGCACATGTGGATTTGGAAAGTCACATACAGCTGGCTCGGCATCGCCGCGAATACTGTGCACTAGTCACTCTAGAGTTAGCTAAAGCGTACGACAAAGTGGAATATCCTATCCTAATCCAGCAGATGCAAGACTATCACTTTCCAAAATATATAACAGCAGGGATTACAGAGTTTGTGAAAGACAGAGAAATTTATTGCTTCTTCGATGGATGCTCTTCTAAAAAATATAAGCAAACATGAGGTGTACCTCAGGGCTCAGTATTATCCCCGGTGTTATTCAACATATTACTAAGTTCCATTCCAACTCATGAGGATATCCAAATTTACGTCTATGCAGATGATATTGCTTTATTCGCAACAAACAGTGATCTGCACTCATTGTATCAGGCGTTACAGAATTACATGAACATGCTAGAAGGACGGCTTGACAATATCTATATGTCATTGAACGTCAAAAAGAGTGCGTTTCTGCCATTCTCTTTTACGGATCGTGTCAACATTTCCCTGATGTATCGTACCGAGCTCATTCCCCAGGTCGATTGCCTGAAATACCTGGGCATCGTATATAATAGGACGCTAAATTGGAAAAGCCATATAGAGGAGGTTGGCTGCAAAGCGTCACGTGCCTTGGGGTGGTTACGCCAATTGGGAAATAGAAAAATAGGATTGCATAGGAGTACATTGATAATGATTTACAAGATGTATGTGCGGCCTATTATGGAATTCGGGTGTGTATTATTTTCAGGCAGCGTGGCTTACAAGATGAGACAATTAATTTTATTAGAAAGAGAAGCTTCGCGCTTGTGTCTTGGACTCCCCAAATTTGTGGCAAATAATGTTTTGTATGTGGAAGTGCGCCTTCCACCTTTGTTAACTCGGTTTAGAATACTTACAGTTCAAACTTTCTTAAAAATATACAATTCGCCTATGCGACAAGCTTCATACGTTTTTATTCAAGAACCAACCGCATTCTTTGGAACACAATGGTTTAGACTACACTCCCCTCAGATTAGGTTCGTCCAAGCGTTGCTAGAGCCTATCAATGTAAATATTTATCAGATTGGCATAACGAAGACGCCTAATTCAAAACTTCAAATTAAATTTGATGATATTTTTCCCTCTAATGCGAAACAACTGCCCCTTCAATACTTAAATATTCGGTTAAAAGAATTACTTGACTCATCTGTCCATAAACAACATTATTGCGACGGATGCATCCGTATTGGACGAAAAGGCTGGAATAGGCATCTTCTGTACTTCTCTCGACTGGTCTTTCTCAGTTCGATTACCAGATTACACGCCTATATTCATCGCTGAAATATTTACTATAATTCTAGCGCTTCGTAAACTTTTTGCAAGCGAATCAGAAGCGGTCACACTCACAGATTCTCCCTCAGTATGCACTGCACTATCTACAGCCAAAAATTTGACATTGTTGAGTATGATTAGCAGGTTATTACCAGAAAACCTGAAAAAATTTCACTTGCTATGGATACCTGGCCACTGCGGGATTTATTCAAATGAGATGGCAGACTCGTTAGCCAAAGCATCTTTAAGCGGACCACTCTTACCTATTTTACTGATTTCGCCTACGTAACAGCACTCAGATATAGAAATGCTTGTTGGCACAAACAAATAGAAAAATTATCATTGGATAAAGTCGGAGACTTCGTACATCTAAGATATTGCTGGAACAAACAGTGGTGTGTATCTCGGCAGTTAGAAATTACAATCACGAGATTACGATGCAGAATTCCGCATCTGAATTACTACCTACATAAAGCTGGACTAACAGCATCTCCGTTGTGTCTCTTTTGGAAGGAATCGGAATCAATAGATCATTTCTTTTTATTCTGTCGACGTTATGCTTGTCAAAGGAAAAGATACCTGGTCGAACTAATTGAGAAGCTAGGTTTAAAAATAAACGTGGAACTAATTTTATCCTTCGGAGGGATTACATTAGGTTATAGCCACAGGAAGGTTTTCTCTGCTGTGTGCGAGTACATAAGGGCAACAAAGAGATTACCCTGTTAGCCTATTGTTATTATTTATGGCTACGAGACTACCTGAATGCCTGACTTAGCACACTTGATGATCCTGCCGCCCGGTTCTTGGCCGATCCCCCTTTGTGGGCGAGTGCCAGCAAAGCTGAAGGTTCATCATCGTCATCAGCAGCAGCATCGAGAGTGCAGCAGCGGCTCGAGCTCGTGAATTGCGGCTGATGCATCGCCTTCCAAGCCTTCCAAGCATCAACCTTTCTGCTCAGTAAATCTCCTTTATAATTGGTGGAGCCGTGCTGGATACCGTGCCCTATACCTTCCCGCTACCATCCTGGAACTCCGTTCTCGACGGCTACCTTCTGCTATGCCGGACGCCGATCAGCAGACGCTTCCATCTCCTCCGGCCACCTGTCCAGGCAGTGTTCCTCAGCGGGAGCCTCCAATCTTCAGTGGAACAGATGACAACGACGTTGAAGAGTGGCTCTCGACTTTCGAACGGGTGAGCGCTTTAAACAGATGGATGGACGCGGACTAGTTGACACGCGTGTCGTTCTACCTCGTGGGTGTAGCCAGCCTTTGGCTTAAAAACCACGAGGCAGACGTCTGAACGTGGCCGCAATTTAAAGCGTCGACTGTAGCTGTCTTCGATCGACCTGCCGTCCGAAAACTTTGTGCCGAGCAACGTTTACGCACACGCGCACAAGAAACGGGTGAAACCTTCACTAGTTACGTAGAAGACGTCGTCGATTTGTGCAGACGCGTGAACGCCGCAATGACGGAAGCAGAAAAATGTAAGCTCATCCTCAAAGGGATTGACGACGACGCTTTTCAAATGCTCGTGGCGAAAAGCCCGAGCACAGTTAACGACGTAATTAGCCTCTGCCAAAGCTACGATGAATTGCGGAAGCAGTGAGCCCTGACAAGACGTCCTGCAGCGCACAATTTGGCATCACTGTCTAGTGTGATGAATGTTCATGACCAAGCGTCACTAAGAGCCGAAATAAAAGCATTTGTCCGCGAAGACGTCACACGACAGCTTTCCTTGGTGCCCTTCACACCAGAACCTACCACAACTTTACCGTCGTCTCTTTGAGGCGTCATTCAAGAAGAGGTCGCCGAGGCCTTGCCAGCTGCTCGCGAGCCTAATCTTGTGGCTGCTCCTCTCACCTACGCCGCGGCTGCAGCCATGCCAACTCGCAAGGCGCCTGCGCCTCCGTTCCAGCCTCGCGCGAGCTATCCCCCAGCTCCAGTTTACTGGACCAGCACTAACACCGCCAACCCGTGGCGCACCTTCGACAATCACCCGATATGTTACGCTTGTCGATACCCCGCACCTCCACCAATTATAAAGGAAATTTATTGAGCAGAAAGGTTGATGCTTGGAAGGCGATCCACCAGCCGCAATTCGCGAGCTCGAGCCGCTGCTGCACTCTCGATGGTGCTGCCTCTGCGCCGGAGTAATTCCTCTACTTTACATTATCATCATAATCAGCCTGACTACGCATACTGCAGGGCAAATGCCTCTCCCATTATCCGCCAATCAACCCTGTCTTGTGCTTTCTGCAGCCGCGTTATACCTGCAAACTTTTTAATCTCATCGGCCCACCTAACTTTCTGTCTCCCCTTCGTATGTTTGTCTTCTCTCGGGGTCCAGTCAGTTACCCTTAATGGCCAGCAGTTATCCTGCTTACGTGTTACGCACCTGGCCCATGACCATTTTATTTATTCTTGATTTCAACAATGATATCCTCCACCACAATTTGTTCCCTGACCTGTTCCCTGCTCTCATCCTGTCTCTTATGTTACACCTGTCATCTCGCTTTCCATCGCTCACTACATTGCCCTCAATATAAGCTGAACCCTCTTTGTAAGCCTCCAGGTTTCTGCTAGCTAGGTAAGTACCGGCAGAATGTAGCTGTTATATACGTTCCTCTACACGGTTAGTGGCAGATTACCGTTCATTATCTGAGAATGGTTTGGATCAAGCAGGAGCTAAGAGTTTTCGAGTAGGGTCAGCGCCACTGTGGTCGAGAGACGACACTTCAGTAGGGGCTGTCACGTTGGTCTGACGCAAAGAATTTGGGGCAGGCTTTGGGGTTCCCGCTTAACTCGAAAAGTAGCGTAGATAACGCAAAACTCGAACCCTGTTTGGGTCTCCCGTATGAGCACTGCCTCGACGCAATTTACTTGGGGCTCCAAAAAAATTGTGGCCCCCATTCGAAAATTCCCTGTTATTACTAATTGCTTTGTGTCGATTCCCCTTTACGCGTGGGATACGCACTTTTTTCTACGCACGTTAGCACGTAAATTTCCCTTATTCAACTGAAAGAGGATTTGTTCACTTGAAGGACACTCTTATATGTGCCATTCATTATCGGTGACTGAAACTTGATATTCGGAGCGTGTAGCTTCTACCGGTGAGGGTTATGGTGAAGTGACGCATAGTGAATGCATTCGGCAAACATTCAGGCTGTAATTCTCGATCGCTCCGGCAGAACGCTGCGACCCTTTGTAACGCAAGCCCGCCAGGTCCAGTCGCCTCGCACGGATTGCCTTCCAAACACTGCAGTGAGCGCAGTGTTTTGAAGGCATGACCTTCAGAGCTTTGCCAATGCCACCAAGAACCAGAAACTAAACAACCACCCACAGAATGCGATCACCACGTGTAAAGAGAGAAGAATGGCGATTTGGGCTAGTTGATTTGAATTCATAGTAATAAGGGCTGCAGCGCGAGCACGAATGTGCTAGAAGAAACAGACAAAGTCGAGGTACGGAAGGCAAAAGAGGACAACACGAGCGCTGCTGGGTCTTGAGAATAAGGGTCCAAAACAGTAGGACTGCCCTGTGTACTAGAAATGCATTGAAGAAGAATGGCGATTTGGGCTAGTTGGTTTGAATTCATAGTAATAAGGGCTGCAGCGCGAGCACGAATGTGCTAGAAGAAACAGACAAAGTCGAGGTACGGAAGGCAAAAGAGGACAACACAGCGCTCGTGTTGTCCTCTTTTGCCTTCCGTACCTCGACTTTGTCTGTTTCTTCTAGCACATTCGTGCTCGCGCTGCAGCCCTTATTACTATGTGTAAAGAGAGCTCTAACGCTTACCGTCAGTCTTATAGTAAGTAGCCACGTGGTCCAAGTATCGCGCATATGGTAGCATTCACATTACTTGCACAGTACTCACGGATTAAAACAGGACTATTTTAGGGCTAACTAAAGCATTTACTTTTATTTCCATCATATTCAATTTGGGAGATATCTACTTAATTTCGACTCGAATGCATAGACACGGAAGGAGGGAAGGAACACAGAAAAAAGAGGCAGGGATGTTAACTAGTCTAGAAGGACCAGTAAGTAGGCTACCAAGCTTAGACGAGAACCAATGTTGTCTTCGGAAACCTGGTTGCGTCACGAAACGGTGTGGTTCTCTCAAGCGCTGGCGAATATACAAGCAGACATATTAAAGAAATAAATGTCGCGTTTGAATCAGTAGGTACTGTTCGTTTTAATCTGCGTATAAGGCTTCAATCATCAAGCACTCTGAATAGTATAAATTTAGTGATTTCTCAAGATTGTGACTTTCTAGACAATGAGTGACGCTCCAGTCGCACTCTGCCCCACACTATAGCTCGTGCACTTGGCGTGTCAGTTGATGAAAATTCTGCAGTTCCGAAGTGATACCTAATGACCAACTTACCGGCGAGCAGATGAACCTCGCCAGTGACCCGACGTTCAGGTTATTGTACTGCATAACCTGCTGCAGACGATACTGGAGCTGCGGGAAAGAAGAAAGATTTTTTTTTCGTGTGTAGTTTTCACGTGCCGCCCAACGCGCCTTGCATGCACTTCTCGCATAATGATATAATCAGTAAAGTTTTGTATACATACGTTTGCGGAGAGATGCTGCCACGTGCATTGGATTACTTGTACTTTATCTCGCAGTCTTAGTGCTAGATAAAAACAACACAAACAATATATATGTAAATTTTACAACAAAAAGAATTTTGAGGTGTCACAACAGACATGACGCAGTGGCTTCACCGTACATTTTATTTCCGGTGAGTAAGTTCCGTCATGTCACTATGTGAACGACATTACACGTCCATTGCTGTTGAATTGTGACTTTCCATTCACTTGTTAGCGGACCTTTATTGCAGGGGTCGTGGATGAAATATGTATAGCAAAGAAAATTATCTAAACGCCCTTTTTTATGTATAGCAAGAAATATGTATAGCAAGAAAATTATAGAAAGTTTATATATAAGCACTTTCAGTGACGTGGTAACATCGCTAATCGCATTGTCACTCTCTGCAGATTACAGCAAACCGCGCAGGAAACTCATTTCACAGTCTATGAAGGCAATCAAACTTTGAAATACACAGGTGTTCCTTCTCAACGAGAGGATAAAAAGCTGTCATCACTTCACTGACCATGTTATTATGAAGCCACTGGGATAAACGAGGAAAGAAGGACTTTTAAGCAGCTCCGGTTGGTTTCTTGGTAGCGTCTAACTTTATTTTATTGTCCTGTAGGGTTAAGGCAACCTGGGCTCAAGTATCTCACGTGATGACGTTAAATTGCTAATAACTAAATTCTATAATTACCATTATATTTCTAGACATATTAAGCTATCAGCCACTATAGAAGAGTAATTATAAAACAGCGATATAATACAGGATTTCCTTCATTTAAGGAATTTTTCAGACACAGTTTCTTAGGAACACGTGGTGGAGAAAATTGTGGTGGTATATTCTCGTGCGCCGATATAGCTCTTGAATAACTGGAGATGGCGAAAATCGCAGCCGGCATTCTTGTGAAGAACAAACGAGGTTCGAACACCTTGCAGGATGGACAGTTCAGATATTGTAGGCATCGAATTCTACGTCGTGGCACAGGTCGTGCAGGCAGCGTGCGTGCGTGTTGATCGAGGTTGATTGGGCGCTGCCTGTGTTTCTGTCGAGTACAAGGGGTGCTTTTGTGGCTTTTGGAAATTTTTTTATGGCGATGTCGCAGATGGTTTGATAGAAGGCACATTCTTGATCTTAGGTGGAGAATGTATCCACCACGATGGGCCTTTTTGCAATGTTCTTCAAGCCTTAAGAGTGCATTCGGTGAAGTTTTGTTTCGCCGTTGACAATGTTAAAGTATGCGTTGACGTTGTAATTTCTTCATTTCGTCAACTTCCTTGTGGTGTGACATTGATCGTGTTGCACCAGGATTCTATGCGAGTCCTCCGCAGGAGGACTCACTAAGAATCTTGGCGCAACACGATCAACTGTTTCCGGCGCTGTTTCCAACTGTTTGGAAACAGCAACTGTTTCCGGCGCAAGATAATGTGGCCGGTTTGATGCACTTGAATCTTCTGTATTTATAAACCGTTCATTGTTGGTCGTTGCCTGAAGCGTACTTATGTCATCAGAAGTCGCACCTGCGGTTTTGTTTTCATTATATGCAGTGAGGTTGTATACTGGATTCACGTCGCTTCGATCTTGTGATTGATGAACACTCGACGCTTCTGCAGAACACTTTTCTTCACAAGATGCTGATTGTGAATGCTTCTGTCTCTGTGGAACTGCTGAACTGAATACTTTGAACAAATGAGATTCCTGTAAACATTTGTTGTCTGGGTTGGTTTCGTGCGGATTTACTAACTCGTCATGCGTAAATGCTACGATCTTGTGAGGTGCTTCATCAGGTTTATCAGTAAAGTTGATCACAGGAGATGGAACTGCTGAGCTGAATACTTTGAACGAATGATGTTTCTGTGAACATTCGTTGTCTGGTTCGGTTTCATGTGGATTTACTAACTCGTCATGCGTAAATGCCGTCACGCGTCCGAAGCCGTGTGGGCCATGTGTGCGACACGAAGCATCAAGTGATTCGGGTTGTTCAGTAATACCTGAAGCATTATGGTGCAGTAAATACATTGGAAATGCCGATTTCTTTGCCCGTGAAAAATCCAACCGTAATTCCGGTCTTTTGGCAAAATGGTCTACATTCCTATCGGCATACGGTGGCATTACCTTCTCTGCTGCGACGTGCAAGTCCCTAGTTGGTGTTGTAATGCGTGAAGTGTATTTGGACGAGTCATACGATGGTACAATGGTGAAATATTTACTCTGAAGTCTTGTTTGGGAAATACGCTTACTGCAGGAAGACTTCGCGTAACTGTGATGGTTGAGTTGAAGAGACTTCAGCTGATGATGTATGTACAGGTCTTCATCGTATTCTTTGAAACGGGTGATCATTTCTTCTTTGATCTTTTTCCAAGACTCATGGTTCTCGAAGATGTGGGTGAGGTAAAATTTAAATGCCTCACTTGAGATGTAGTCAGTGAAGTTGATGATCATCTCCCGTTCCGACTATGATACAGCGGTGGCATGGAGCTCGAACAGGTTGAACCAGTCCTGTACGGGTCCGTCGTCCGCTGATCCGGTGTACTTAGGGATGTCAAGGTCTTCTGATGCTGCTGTCATGACGATTGGTGGTCTTGGTGGTCCGCGTTCGGTCACTGCGTCTCGCTGAGGTCTTCGATGATGATGGGCGGGCGATGAAGTGGTTGCGAGGTCTTCATCCTGTCGACTTGTGTGACGCTATGATGACTGGGTGACGTGACCCGGCTCATACGCCGTGTTTATTCTATTCTCACTTCTTCCTTTTCGGCTTCTACCAATCATCGCTTCATACGTCACATATATATATTAAAACTTTTGTTTGGACTTTTTCTCTAAGGATTTTTCTCTAAACACTACCGAGGTTGTTTCGTCTAAGACATACTAAAGTAGTGCCCATCACGGTGATTGTGGCTAACGCCCGCAGATGCCGTGCCCCCTACCTTAAGTGTAAAGACCGGCCTGCCAAGTCTAACTAGAAAAGTGTGGTAGTCCCGCCCATTAAGGTGGCGCCGCCTTATAAGTAGGGAAATGTGGACGCTTCTCATTGCGTAGTACGGTTAGTCTGTGATATCGATCAAGATTAACCACCCATTATCAGTGGCTGCTTCTGCGAGATAGAGAGGGAGAAAGAGAAAGTATAAACGAAGGTAACTAGGCAAAGACTTCGATTTTCTACCCTGTATTCGGTAAACGAAAAAAATGAAGTGAAAAATAATGAAAGAAAAGAATGAAGAACTGTAGAAAAAAATTACACCATCTCCCTCAACAGAATACCATGCGCAGATGCGAAGGAGTCGGGAGATGGGCTCACTTGAGTAGTAGATGGTGCACTTTATTTAGAGCTCGTGCTGGCGCTAACGGTGACACTGGCGGTGGCGTTGATGCTGGTGCTCATCGCGGTGTTGCGCAGGAGAAATTGAGGTGCCCTTTGCGTCGTTTTATACCTCGGAACTACTGTAGTGCCCCCAGCGAAGTATGTCAACAAGTGGTGCGACAGCTGTCACACTACCTCTCGTGCGCGCCGCTACGTAGGGCAGAGGATTTCTAAAGGAGAGAGAGGGGGACCATAAGAGAGAAGAGAAAGGGGGTGGAGACGCGCAAATACTCCTGGGGAGTGGGCGCAACGGGAGGGGAGACGCAACACCGACTAAATTTAGTCGGTGTTGCGTCTCCAACACTCCCCGTCTCCCAACACCGACTAAATTTAGTCGGTGTTGGGAGACGGGGAGTGTTGGAGAGGAGAGGGATGGGTAGGGGCGTGCATGGGAACGATGGTGTGGACGCCGCGGGAAAAATGAAGAAGTGACTGACACAGCCATTGTGATAAGCTGCCTCGCATCTAAAAAAAGGGTCCGCAACACGGGGCGCTTTCAGGGCATTGGGATTTCCGCAAGCAACCAGGCTGAATGAAAAACTCGGACAGTTCGCGAAAGTGTTGCTGCGTAGTGCTGGAACGCGAGACAGAGAGTGGTGATGAAAAGGTGTGGAGGTTAAACGGGTCGCATCTGCTTCGCCACCCTACCAAAAGAAGGAGATTGAGAACAATACGCTAGGAAGGAGCGAACAATACGCGTGGAAACATGACGGCTTTCACTAACCATATACCTCAGGTGTAGCTCCAAGGCAGCCAATTTTTACAAATATGAACGTCCTCTAATGGGCCTATAAAGTTCTGCTGGGCGAGTTGGCTTACACGTAGAATAAAATTTGTTGCACGCAGATACAGGAGACAGACCAACGCAAACTTTCAGAAAATGTTTTCCTCCCAGTTTCTATATAAGCACTTTCAGTGACGTGATAACACCGCTGATCACATCGTCACTCTCTGCAGATTACAGCAAACCGCGCAGGAAACTCATTTCACAGTCTATTAAGGCAATCAAACTTTGAAGTACACAGGTGTTCCTTCTCAACGAGAGGATAAAAAGCTGTCATCACTTAACTGACCATGTTATAATGAAGTCACTGGGCTAAACGAGGAAAGAAGGACTTTTAAACAGCTCCGGTTAGTTTTTTGGTAGCGTCTAACTTTATTTTATTGTCCTGTAGGGTTTAGGCTACCTGGGCTCAAGTTTCTCACGTGATGACGTTAAATAGCTAATAAATAAATTCTCTAATTACCATCATGTCTCTAGGCATATTAAGCTATCAGCCACTATAGAAGAGTAATTATAAAACAGCGATATAATACAGGATTTCCTTCAGTTAAGGAATTTTTCAGACACAGTTTCTTAGGAACACGCGGTGGAGAAAATCGTGATGGTATATTCTCGTGCACCGATATAGCTCTTGAATAACTGAAGTCTAGGTGGCTCGGTATTCCTGAGACACCTCCGTGGCTCCTGCTTAGACCGCTTCTCAGGCTTCAGATTCCTGAGATTATGGAAACGTTTTAGACTTCGAAAAAGCTTTTGACAAAGTTCCTCATAAACGCTTGTTCTTAAAACTTCCTTGTCTTAACCTTGATCCCTTAGTTTTCAATTGGATTTGCGACTTTTTAACTAACCGCCAGCAGTTCGTTTACGCAAATAATCTTTCTTCGTCTTTACGCCCTG